GCTGTGGAGGAGCAAGGGAGGGGATCTGGGGTAGGGGGTGACGATCGCTGTTTCGCCGGCAGCAGGGCGACAGTTTCACTCAGGAAAAACTGTGGAGTGTAAAATATTTTCGCCCGAAAAGGGGCCGGAAAAGCCACAATGACATAGGTAACGGGCAGTGACATCTATTAGTGACATAAAAATACGGTAGTGACAACTATAGTGACACAAAAAATAAATAGTGACATAAATATTTTGCAGCAACATTCTGAATTTCCGAAAATATGACCTTTTTAATCACATTTTTGTCAATTTTTGTCAATAAATAGATGTAGTAACATTTTTGGAATTTGAGTTAACTTTTTTTTTTTGGGAAAAGACGAATTAAATTGATATCAAAGCATTCAGCAAGGGAACAAGAAGATAAAAGGATCTCTTCCAACCGCCGACCCTCGAACCAGACTTAGAGCCAGTCACCCTAGAAAAAGCAATATGGCTCGTTGATCCTATAATGGGTCTAAATGAGCCTAACGTAGTTAGAATGGACCCCTCATCACCCCTACATAATGCAAGAGTCTGACTGGTGAAATAAAAAAGCAGAAAACAACAACGATAGTCTGATCAAAGCAATAAATAACAACGAAAATAAAATAGTGGGAATTCAGCTGCACCCTCCCGCCGCTGATAGCGGGCCTCCTCATAGCTCTCGGCGGGTCTAGTGTCCGAGACCCGCCTCTTCCTCGTTTTTTGAGCTGTCAGCGCCATAATGTCTCTGCCATCCTCCTCATACTCCTTAGCCTCCCACGTTCTTCGCCTCTTCTGCTCCCCTGAAGATCCCTCCATGGCCACTATTTCATTCTCCTTTGCTTCCTTTGGGCCACCACTTACCTTAATACTTGTCCCACTCTGCCCCTCTTGCCCAATCATCCCATTGTTGGTGCTAGTAACCCCCCTTGCTTCTCTTGCTTACACGGTTCACTTCCCGTTAAGGAGTCTTCTGTGACTAGCCATTTGTTAGCCCTCATCGGTGGAGTTTTCTCTCCCCCGCCAGCTCGAAGATTAACCCCAAACGGTTTAGCCAAAGCTTTGTTTTCACACTCATAAGCCAAGGGACAAAACCTGTCTGCGTGACCAATGATATCGCAGGCAAAGCAAAAGCTAGGTACTTTTTCATATTTGAAATCCACCTTATGGCCTAGACCATCCCTCTCCGTAGCGTCGTGCCCGTTTTCAGGGCTTTCCCCACATCCATTGTGATGCCGCCCCCGATTGAACTTGGATTATTTACCCATTAAAATTAAAACTTAATTGAAATATAAACACTAATCAAAACAAGAATGATTAGTAGAGTTAATGAGTATAATATTCATTTTTAAAACAAGTCGCTAGCTATATTCATCATATGAGAACTGATTAATTGATTTAATTAATAGTGATTAATTAAATTGTGTATCGAGCCCGAAATATGGGAAGAGACGAACTATTATGTTCTTGACCCATATCATGTATTTGATGGGCCAATAATAAAGGAAGGATTAATATATAGAGGTATGAGCCAAAATAATAGGGAAGAGGTAACCCAATAAGTGATTGGGGCCGAACTTACTAATAATAGAAATATAGCGGGTATCGGTCTGAGATTATTGGGGAGGACTAACCAATATATTTTGGGTCCAACCTATTAATATTCAATAGCCCAATATAATATAAATCAAGGTATATATATCTCAGATGGGCTGAAATAAATTGTAAAGGGAAGCCCATGAACCAAACCCAACGCATTAGGCCCAAGAGCCCAACCTCCCAATTTAGAAAGATAAGAGGGAGACCATTCTTCTCCTCTCATTTGGGAGAACCATGCGTATGAGATAAAGAAGGGATAAGGGAGCTCAATTACCAAGCTTCTAAGAACAAGGAGAAAAGAGAAGAAGAAAGAAAAGGGATTCCGGAGAAGAAGAACGTGAGCTAGCGGTAACAACTCTATACTCCCGATTCCATTTCTTCCATTTTATATACTTTGTATATATGGATTCGTTTGATTCGTTTGTTCTACACGTTTAAAAGTGTAGAAAATTGATATAAAGTGTTGGTAATTAACTTAGAAGAGTCGTTGAATCGATAGGAGTTGAAACCGACGCAAACCGCCATAGAAGGGTGCTGTTTTCGTGCTGCAGGGCCCGAAAGCCGCCCAGCTTTTGCAAAAGCCGCCCGGCTTTTGCCTTCTGCCCAGCTGGTTCATTTTTGATCGGCTCAGAACGGGGGATAACCGAAGGACTTCACAAAGGCAGCTAGTTAAGCACATCATAAGGTGAGGATGGCTGACTATATCGTTTATAACTAGTGGGTTAATTCATGAGATTACCTAATTTATAAAAGTATGATTTTAATTAATCAATATGCCTAATAAAGTGTCAATTGATCATATTGTTGTATATGACGAGTTGATGCATGATTGATTGAACTATGAGTAATTGGAGCATGATTACTTGCTATAATTGAGATGTTATTCTAGATGATTTAGCGTAGAATTAATGAAATGATTTATTAATCACTATTTAATTCTATGGACTTTATGGTTAGTAAAGTCAATATAGGATGAAGAGAGAACGAGTCATGGCATGGCCGCCGTGTTCGTTTGAAAAGGGAGAGACAAGTTGAATTAAGATCAACTCGGGTAGTACTAAGTGACTAGCCAGAGGTTGTAGTATGAACCTTAATAAAATTGATCCTAAACTTAGGATTGTGATACTTTGTGACTAGGGTATTCACTTGGGATAGCCTTAGATGATTTAAATAATGTATTGATCCTATAATTGGATTGTTGATGTTATTCTCCGGGTGGTCTTTAGCACACCCGTATTTGATTGTTGATTTGTAGCAAGGGTCATGTCTCGGCTCTAGTCTAAGGATAGATGCCTGACCACATGGACTTGCCTGACCACGAGTCTAAGGATCGTGCCGGACTGCACGGGCTCATAATAGAATAGATGTAAGGACCATGGTCCTGCCCGACTATAGAGAGTGTGTTGGATAGCATGGACTTACAGCGTGATCACGTATAAGGGTGGAATCCGAGTCAGAGACCTAACGAGGCTCTGGTAGCGGTAACACATAAGATAGGACCCCGAATGGGCCTTACCTTCCTACGGGAACAGGGTATGAGTCCAGGGGCAGGATGCTGGACTCCGACCGAGTGTCCTGCGGGAACTCGGATAGCGGTGACAGGTCCTGTATGATTGATGTGACCTTTGGGTTAAATTGTATGAATCAATAATGTAATGAATTATCGCAAGTCGGTATGAATTGTATTTTTAAATACAAATGGGGCAATAAATTATCGTTGGACGATACAAAGGGTTTGTGACAAATACAAATTGACCTATGAGCTGACTATTTGACCTTATATACTTATGTATGATTTGAAGAACTATGGGTTATTTCCTAGAATATGATATCGCCATATGTTGAGGGTCTTATGGATTGAAACACTAATTATATGCAGTATAGTTGTCATTGTACTTTTCAAATGCTTCAAAGTACTGACCTCCCCTTCACGGGGGAGGCCACCTCACAGTTTTCAGGTAGGAGCTAGAGCTTGCTTCCTGTGCCCGTTGCTTCGGGAATTCTCGGAGAGGAGACGTGGTTCGTGCTTTCTCCATTTCTGTTTTCAAAACTATTACAATAATGCTCATGGATAATATTTTCTAATAAACTATTTGGGGGCTTGTACGCCTAACTTTACCGAGTGTGGCTTGAACACTTGTAATATTGTTTCCGCTGCTTTAATGAATATTTTACATTATGTTTGTTCGCGGATGTACTATGTGTGAATGATATTCATGACGCCTAGTATAGTATGGACGTGCTTGACTGAGGTTGACTATTCATACTGTACGGCGGATTGTTGACGTGTCCGGATAGGTCCGGGGCGTGACATCCATACATACCCTAATTCTCATGTATGAGTTCCAATGATCACCAAACTGACTTTCGTCAAAACTTGCCAATTAAGTTACCAACCCTCCTAACCACCCATAAATTCATATAATCATAAGGTATGTTGTGTACCTGTACCCAAAATTCAGCCTCATTTAGGGGAACCCGAAGAGGGATGTCCCCCGGTTTCATCGCCCTCAATACCAGTAAATTTTGTTCATACAACCACGGCCCTCCTCCTAACACCCGTTCCATATCAACAATATGGTAAAAAGTTAACAAATACATCTTCTCTCCGATTTCTTTGATAGATATTCCCTTCCCTGGGCGCCAAATAGAAGCCATGAGATCCCTGAACACCGGAAATTTCACCATTCTGTCCGTGAGAACAGTGCCAACAACCGGGAAGGTTGCGCTTCGGGACAAAGAATCTCCCTCGCCATCCAACTCCTCGTCCAGAACCAGTTCCTCCTCATCCCCGCCGAGCTCCAAATTGTCATACTTGCTGACCACATCATCCATCTTTGTCGGAAGTTATCGCTGTGTACCCGCTCCTTTAAGAAACCCCTGTTGCAGAAACGATGTGTTGCGCACACTCCGGCACACCCTCACGCGAGACAGGAGCAGTGCCTTAGAGTCGTCCCTTTCGTTTGCCTTCTTGCGGCTACGATGCACAGAGTACGCTGAAAACCTCAAACCCTACTAGTGGGAGTCGACCGCTTCGATTAATGATAAAGTAATTTTGAGTTAACTTAGTAATATTAATGGGAAAAACCTTTATTACTACGTATTACTCCCTCCGTCCCAATTTGATTTGCAATATTTCCTTTTTTTGTTGTCCCAAAATGGTTTTCCACTTTCTATTTTAGGTATGTAAATAAGAATAAAGTGACAAATTTACCCTTACTTTTACTTTTTCCCCATTAACTTAAAGGCATCTACTTTTTGATAGATGGGCAAAAGTGTAAAAAGAAAGTATCATTTATTGTCATTTCTTAATCCTTGTGCCGGTCAAAGTTTGCAATTCAATTCGGGACGGAGAGAGTATATATTGTCTAAATTTTGATTTTTTAATAATAAAAAAGAGATGATGGGGTTGTTCCGGATTTCTCCCTTCCCTTCTCTCCCAGACTTCTTGAAATCCTCTCCTTCTATCGTCTTCTTCAATTCCTCATTTGCTTCTCAAGCAAAGCATCCATCTTCTATCATTCTATTCATTCCTCAGTTAGTATATATAAAAATCATCATGGAACCCCTCTTTAGCACAAAAAATTCACATCCCCCGATTATCAATATTCAAATCAAACCCAAAAAATCTATCCCTGATCTTATTGACAAGAATAAATGGCCACATCAGAAACAGCTGTGGGCAGTATACCAAGTACCAATAAGTATACGAATAGGGTCTTCTTGAAAACTATATTTGAACGGGGAGATGTTGGCCAGAGAGTCGTAATTGGAGGGTGGGTTAGGTCTTCTGAGGAGAGAAAGAAGGAGGATGACCTTCACCCGGTTGCGGAGAGTGAAGGTGTGAGCTGTGTGGAAGTTCTTCTATCCAGTTTCCCCCTAATCTGGTCAATCATTAAGGTTTTTAGAGGAGAAGGACAATCCCGGATTCGTGAGAATCCTAATCCGGATGGAGTAAAACTGCCGCCCCCATCATTTACGATTCTGAAAGTCAGCGATGGCTCCTCTGTGAAGATTCTTCGGGTATGCTAAAAGGATCTCATTCTGTTTGACAAAATGCCTCTTTCACTTTCCCCCCCAAAATTAGAATCGTGTTGCTGTATATGCTATAGGTTGTGGTGGACTCTGAGCTAGCAATTCCTTCCCAAATCATGCCTACTGGAACGTGCATATTAGCAGAAGGTATATTGCAGCAGCCAACGTCTACGGGAAAACATGCTCTTGAACTGAAAGTAGACAAAGTTCTGCATCTTGGGACCGTTGACCATATTAACTATCCACTGTCGAAGAAACCCTTGTCCTTGACGCTTTTAAGGGATTGGTCTCACTTCCGAACAAGAACAAGAACGGTGATTCCTATTTTCACTTTTCAACTTTTGCTCACCCATCCTTTTTACTGGTATCACCTAAGAATTGCTTGCTTTATATGAAATGAACTGATGTATCTGCCAATTGTTATGCTCAGAGCATGAATTTGATTGAAAGTTTAGAAGCCTTTCTGTGTCCACTTTTTACCTTACAGGCCTTTTTTTTACCAAAATAGTTTATTTGACTGACCATGCTAAATTGATAAACATCAGCCACAATATCTGCCACTATCACCCTTCACCAAATAGGCCCCTACGCCATGTCACTGGGCCAAACTGGGTCGGCACAAAGAATATTTTTGGGAAAAAATTCACCCAAAACTGTTTACCTTAAATTTGGGGTGGCCCAGGGCCTAGGTTGCCCCCTACTTCCGCCCTTGGGCCTAATGGCCCAAACAAGGAGATACTAAAGTTGCTTCTCATAGTTCATAGTAGGCCTGGGACTTGGAATCGTAAAAACGGGAAAATCGATTCGAACCGATAGTAGGCCCGGTTCTGTTCCTATTATTTTGGACTTCAGCTTTTTTCGGTTCGGTTCCTATAGAATTTGATCGGTTCCGGTTCGGTTCCAGTTCGGTTCCGGTTCCTAGGTCACCAAGTCAGTAAAATAAATTATTGAAAGACACTATGTCAAATACATATAAAAACGCAGTGCTTTTCAATATTTTATTTAAATCACTTCCTGATTTCATTTTAAGCTGAAATTTGGTCGATATAATCTACACCTCATGTAGAACATGATCACAAAATATCATCAAAAAATTCTAACCGGAATATTTGTTTTGCATAATATGCCTTATATAATGTGGACCACGTCAATCCGAGTAGTTGTTATTATACTACTTTAGTCCACTTTTATATTTATTGTTTGTTTGTAATTGTATTTGTTATTTGAGTTTACCTAAAAAGGGAATTAATATTCCTCTAATTACATTTTTATTTGTTCATAGTAAATTACAAATATTACTGGTCAGTTTAATACTACGTACTTTTTACTTATGGTGCATTACTAGCGAAGAATACGAAGTATTATTTTGGGATTGAACTACCTAATATAGGAGGTACCTTGGAACTATTAAACATTTTTGCTTGGTAGTTGATGCCTATTCTAAACCTTCATGTTTGTACTTGATGTTTGCACTTGGATATTTTGTGATATTTGAACATTGGGATATCATGCATGTATAATGTAATGGTCATAATTTCATGATTTGAAATTTGAATTTTTTATGTAACTGAAGGTAAAATGTGTTCTTTTTAGGAGGATAATAAATTTTTATAAGGAACCGAAAAAAGGTAAGAACCGAACTGAATTTAACTAAAACCGATCTGAACTTAACAACTACATTTTTAACTAGAACCGAACCGAATTTAGCGCCTATAATTTTTAATACGGTTCCATCAAATTTTAACAAGAACCGAACTGATCCCAGGCCTAGTTCATAGCCTCATAGTCTCATACTACCGTCCGTAACATATGAGGGTTGTTTTTTCTGCCATTTGCTATTAAGGTTGCACATGTCTAAGGTATCTATCTTTGTAAATTTGTTATCAAGTTGCTCGGTTTTGTAGGTGGCATCTGTTATGCGAATACGCGATGCCATTACTCAAGCATTTCATACCTTCTTCCAAGATAATGACTTTCTGTATGTACACATGCCCACAATTACCAACACCAGCACAAGCGGATCTAGCAAGGAATTTATAGTCACAACTCAACCACTAACCAATAATAATAGTCATGACTCTGGTCTAGAGGGGCTCAAAGCTGCCTTCAAAGAAAAATCCAAAGTAGTTGAAGAACTTGAAAAAAGTGAAAACAACAAGGAAACCTTGGTTGCTGAAAAGCAGAAGCTGGAGATGATAAAGGATTTTATATCACGTGCAAAAGCCATGAAAAAATCATCATTTAGAAGATCACGTTTAAAAGGAGATAAAATTAGTTTGACTGGTTCTGGCCGCCTTCATCTAGAGAGTCAAGCATGTGCACTTGGAAAGGCTTATACATCTGGTCCCAGATTTGAAGTGCAGAAATCAGAGCTGAAAAAATCCTTACCAGAGATGTTGATTGTTGAAACTGAAATGGCTTTCTCTAAATTAGTGGTACTTATTTCACTTATGACCCATAAAATTTTTGACCACGATTTCTGGCTTATACATATTACCTTACCTTTGTTCTCCTGGATTCCAGGATGCCATGAACTGCGCAGATGACCTCTTAAAGTTTATATGCAAATCAGTTCTAGAAAATTCAACTCAAGATGTGAAATTTCTCTCGAAACGGCTTGATAAAAGTATTAAGGAGCGCCTCAAGTTCATGACATCATGTTCTCTCGAAAGAATTTCTTATTCAGATGCTGTTAAGGTTTTACAACAGGTAAATGTTTCTTTTATCACATTCTTTGAATGCATAACTTGGAGCACATTTGGTTAGGGGTTAATTGGATGATATGGTTGAATCTGTTAGAATAAGCCATTTTAGCTACCTAATGGGCTCTAACTATTGAGATAGCCAAACACTTCCTTTATTGCGACTTGATTATATTGTAAACAGGCCACTGAAAATAAATTTGGAAAAGCTATAGAATGGGGAGTTCCACTAAATGATGAACACACCAGGTATGGAGTTAGTTTTTAAATGGCATATGAATGTATGATGTATCCAGTCTGGGGAAAGATAAATTAAAATTTTCATTGACGTTGTTTTTCTTGTGGCAGTTATCTGGTGGATGAAATCTACAAAAGGCCAATCATTATATACGACCATCCAAAAAAACTGAAACCTTTCAATGTGCGACTGAATGATGATGCAGAAACAGTTGCAGCATTTGATATAGTTTTGCCAAAGGTAATTGAGGCAGTCATTGTTTCATCTCCCTTGTGAATATCCATGTTGCCACAATACTCATTGGAGGCAGTGGCGGCTCTAGGGCAAGGGCAAGAGGGGCGACCGCCCTAGGCCCCCAAAAATGGAATTTGTTTTAGGCCCGATAATATTTTCTCCACATATGTTGTGAGTATGAAACTATTTTCTCTTTTAAACCCAAGCTTTTAATAATTTAATGTATTTTTGAAACAAATATGATAATACAAAATTTGTTTAAATCATTAAAATACCGAATTGCGAAAAGGCACAGACCCAGCAGGTCAAAATAAAACTGCAGGCGTTCATTTTTTTACAATTTTGGTAATCGTTTTTCTTACTAACTACCACGTAAGATTTATTGTGTCATTGTGTTTGTGATTTATCTATTTTCTTACGCGTGCGGTTGTGTGCATTTTATTGATTTGTTAAAATCTAGCTCTTATGCTAATTTATATTTATTTTATTATTTTAAATTTTATTTATTATGAAGGTGCTAATGAGAATTTTCATCACAATATTTTTCAAAAGTATATTCATTTTTTTACTTTTATTGGATAATTATGTTGTGCTTTTTATATTAATATACTCCGTACAACTTATAGTCTCGCTAGAAAGTAATTCTTTTCTTTATTATGACTTTGTACATAACAAAGAAGATAACAAAATTCACCCCAGGCCCCTAATAAACAGGACCGGCCCTGCCTGGAGGGATTTATTTATGTGTATTTTTTGCACTCAAAATTTATGTGCGAGTATTCCTTCTCGGCACACCCCAAATTTAAAATTATGGGAGTTCTGGCTCAGCCCCCTAAACACCATGTTACTGAGCCCTAGCTCTACATTGTTCAGGTTGGAACTGTGATTAGTGGAAGCCAAAGTGAGGAACGCTTGAAGACTCTAAGCTCTAGGTAAGGGCCCTTCACTTGACATTGGTCTTTTCAACCATTGTTGCCTAAATGAAGCTTCATAATGTTTTCAGGATAGAGGAGGTTGGGTTGCCTAAACAACAGTATGAGTGGTACTTGGATCTTCGAAGATATGGTACTGTGGAGCATTCCGGTTTTAGTCTAATGTTTGACTCTCTTGTTCTCTTTGCCACTGGGATCAATAATATCATAGATGTTGTTCCTTTCCCTGTAATTCCTAGAAAAACCAGTGCTTAATACTCCTATATCAGAGTAGTATTCTACAATTGTCAGAGTAGTTCCTCTGCAACATACTACTACATGTACATATACCAATGGTTTCAGGAAAGTGTTGAGAAGAAAAGTTGTTAAAAGCTGTTAACTTTAGATACAATTGTAATTATAAACGGAGTTTGTATGTAAAAACTCATCTAAAAAATAGTTTTATCTTTAGTAACCTCTATGTTTCAATGACTTTGTTCACTTAATAACTCCGCAAAACACGTACGAGTTGACCAACATAGTAACAGCATTCATTTTAGCTTTTGCAAAAAATGCCTGAAAGAGAGAAAAGTTGGATTAGAAACTCTTTAAAAAGCCTAAAATGACAAGCTTTTGGGTGTAATAAAAAAGTGAGAAGCATTTAAAAGCATCAATATCTCCTCCGCATGTAACTTTTCACTTAAAAGTTAAAACTACTTAAATATAAGTAAAAGTTGATGTTCAAAAACATTCACTTTAGATTTTCTACCCATAAAAGTGATTTTTTTAAATCCTTGCGAACACTCCATCAACATGACAACATTATAAGATAACAAAAATGCTACTTGTACAAGCCGGTTTACACGTCCATTTATACGATAAGTGTGTTTTCTCTTTCCACAAATAATTGATTTTTCATTTTAATAAAGAATTGTCTGTGTACATATAAAATACACTTGACTTATAAACGAATTGTATGTGAATTGTCTGTACACATATGAAATACACTTGACATATAAACGAACGTGTAAACTGGCATCTACAACTAGTATTTTTGTATGGATAAACAAAAAAAAATGTGCCATTCTCACAGTATAATGCTATCATTAGTTTGTTAAGTACACACAAATATTTTTTATAGAGTACATTAAATGTTAAATACAATAATCGTATAAAAATATACAATTGAGTGTAACTTTTATGAAATAGATTGTTTGAATAATTTTACAAAAATAATCGTGAAAAAGAAAATAATGGATTATACCGTGAGACCGTTATAGTACGTAATATCAGTCCTAATATAGTACATAGTACTATTTTGTAATAAAAAATGTAACTGATAGATCTTCTGATTTTCTTCTTCTTTACTTCTCTTATTCAGTTATCTTCTTCTCTTTCATAAAAATTTTAAGAATCTAACCACAACTTCGTTTTTCTTCAACTTCAAAATCCCAATTTGTCTTCTTCTTTTCTTTTCTTCTCCTTCATTAAAACATTACTAATCAATGTTGTTTGCTGCTATAGTTTCATGGAGACGATGATTTAGCTTTCTACTTTGTCTTAATTCGGTTTTATATAATACTATCCTCCGTATCACATTAGTTGCAACATTGGAATATATGCACTACTCATGTACTCTACTTTGACTACATTTTATTTATTAATGTATGTGAATTATTTTTTATTGAAAAACATTGTTAAATTCGTCTCATTACTAAGTTTTATAATCTGATTTTTATTTTATTTTTACTAATACGGAATTAAATATAATGACAGTCAAAGTTGTGCGTTGGAAAACGTGAAAAAGAGAATGTTGCAACTAAAAAGAGACGGAGGAAATATTATTTTTCTTCATCTTAAAAAAATATAGATTTTTCTCCATCAATTAAAAACTAAAGTTTTATTAATCTAAAACAAATTATTTGTATGTGAAGGCCTATAAGTCTATAATTTTCTTCAAGTTATATGTCTTATATGAGACGTCTTGCATTCTAACTTGTCTCAAGTTACACTTCCATTAATGCGATTTACATTTCGACGTGCCTCAAGTTACATTCAATTCACATTAATACGATTACATTTCAACTTGTCTAAAGTTAAATTTTAGTCAACAAGTATTACATTTTGACTTGCCTTAAGTTACGTTTTTATTAACGGTTTGCATTTCAACGTGCCTCAAGTTATATTTTCATTTTTCAATAATATGATTTACATTTCAACTTGCCACAAGTTACATTTTCATTACGCGATTTACACTTGGACTTGCCTTGAGTTACATTTTATATATGTGATTTATATTTCATATGTGAGAGGTGAGAGAATAATTGATGGAGGGAGTGACACGAGTTAGATTTCTTTGCACGAGTTGCATTTGCCACTACTCAAGATTACATTTGTTAGCGCATGAGATTTACGTCATGAAAAATATTGAAACAAAAATATATTCTATTCATCGGTTCATGCATGATTTTTTAAATTAAAATTTAAACAAAAAATGGCATCATTTTAAGTGTGAGAGTGTGATGTTCACTATGGGCTACTCCCACACTATAATGTGTGAAAGAAAATTGACGATATTTAACAATTTTATGCAGTTCTCAATGATGATTTAATTTATATTTTTAATTTTATGAATTTACAATTTTCCAATTTACAATTCTAAATCATGTTTGATGACACTCAAATTGGTTTAATCAGTTGCATCCGTTGAAATTAATGAACTTTTGATTGAAGATGTTGAATTAATGGAATCTAATAAAATATGAAAAATTATATTTAAAACATATTTTATTAATAAAATAAATAAAAGGTATACTACATATTAAACATAGTTAAAATAGTTATCTACAATAACTTTAGTCAATTCATAACCTGTTTGGTGACCTTGTTTTTCTGCTTATTAGCCAACTTTTTCATCAAACACGTAACTTTTGATTTCACGCGCTGAATTGTGTAATAATCAAAATAAGTAAGGTTAAAGTTACTTTTCAGTCTAGATTGGTTGAAGTTACTGTAGATCATAATTTTAACTATTTTTTCATATAGTTTTTTCTTTATTTTATTAAAAAAAATATTTTAAATACATTTTTCCATAATTAGCAGAATGAGTCAATTATGTCACACTAGAACTTCATAAATTTTAACAAAATCAATCAATGTGTAACTTCAATTATAAGTATCAGTGGCTTTAATTGTGTGCAAAAGTTTACATCCTAGTAACTTACATGCAATTACTACGATATAAATTTGAACACGTTAGACTCACTAATGGTTACTAGTATTAAGTAATGTTTTTGTCTATTACATTTTAAAGAGTAATATTAATGAAATTTTTTCAACATTAAAAACTCTGTGATCGAGGTTTGTGTAAAAGAGAGAAATAAATATAACGCCAACTCATCACTTTAAAAGAAAAGTGACAAAGTTTTAAACAAATAAAAAAAGAAAGTTAGCAAAATCTAATAAGACCTACCCAATAGTCCAAATTAAAAACGAACTCTCAATAATATAGAAGTAGGGATGAACAAAAAACCGAAAAACTGAGCTGACCGACAAATCAACCAAAATAGAACCGATCAAAACCAAAACTGACTCAAACTGACTAAATCGGATTAACCACTAGCGGTTTGGTTTACTATTTCACCTTTTGGGTTAAAAAACCGACCAACATAAACCTATAAAAACATGCTAAAACCGACCAGAAAGTGACAAAACCGACCGAAATGAACGGAAACCGAACCGAAACCGACTTAAGTAGTGCGGTTCAGTTTATGGTTTCACCTTTTCTAAAACCGAACCGATAAAATCGAAACCGAACCAACTAACACCCTATATAGTAGGGATGGGATCAGAATGATCCCGATCCTGATTGCCAAAATCCCGATGCCATCCTAGTCCCGATTCAAAATACAAGAGGGTCCCATATCCTGTCGCGATTAAGTCGGGATCCCAACATTAAAATCCCGATTAAGTCGGGTTCCCGATTGGGAATCCCGCTTAATCCCGACAATGAAGTATCATACATACAATTATGTAATTTCTTTAGTTAAACACTAACTAACTTTGATATTTAGTAATTTTTGAATAAGCTATCAAGGCTTACTGAAACTTGCTTCAAAAATTATATAAAATTCACTAAAAGAAGGATGTGTAATGTATATTATTTAAAATTCAAAACTAAGTAGACTCATTGAGAACCCCTGTGACCAATGAATATAATGTGTAATACATATTATGATTATTTACTAAAGGAAGAAATCTTAGTCTTGACATGATTTTTTAAAGAGTTCATCTAAACCGCAAAAATTGTAATATTGTTGTGATTTAGATTGTAGGATCCTGAATATTCAATTTGGGACAAATGCCAAATAATTTTAGAAGTTTGATATTGTATGTAACATAAAAGATTAATCTACCTTATCTACGTAAAGAATAAGTAAGTAAAAAAGATATGCAAATATTTAGATACACATTCATTTTTTTATATATTCATATATAATTATATACTCCCTCCGTCCCGAAAAGGTTGGCCAAATTTCTTTTTTGGATGTCCTAAATAGTTTTTCCATTTCCATTTAAAGTAAGGAATATGTGGCTAAAATTAATTCTCTCTTCTCTGCACAAATTTCAACCACACAGTTTTTACTTTATCAATCCACGTGAGAGTCAACTTTGGCCAACCTTTTCGGGACGGATGAAGTATATGTATATATATTTCAATTTCTATACGTATATATATAGTGCCGGGATGTCGGGATTCTCCCGATCCCGATTTTTTTTTATAAAATCCCGCCCGGTCTCGACTTAGTCGAGATTGGGATTGTCGGGATCGGGAGTCGGGATTTGGGAAAAGTTTCCGAGTCGTTCTTGTTGTACCCACTTTTGTACACACATTTGTACACATCCCCTTATTTTGTCTGTATACACAAACAAACACAGACAAAATAATGTCTTCTTCTTAACGAATTGTCTGTGTGCACAAGCAAAATAGAGGGTGGTTACAAAAGGGGAGTTGCTTCGGGCACCCCAAAAAACTGCTTAATGTAACCTTCACATGACATAATTATCCCTTTTTAATTCTTTATACGGAGTACTAGGTGACACTACGTAATAATTACTAAAATAGCTGCCCCAATGTTTAAGTGCTGAACACCCCCAAACATGTTTTTAATTGGGTAATGTTCTAAGAAATCTATTCATTTTCACAAAAATTAGTTAACAACTTTAAATTATGTGTTATTATTAAAAAAAGTTATTTTTTACTCCTATTTGCGTCATTCCTGCTTTTGATGATCTATGGATCAAGATTAAATAACTAAAAATATAATTATATTTTGAAATTCAAAAAATAAAAATTAGATCCAAAAAATTGCATTAGTGATTTTTTACATTTGGAACACAATTACAGTATTTCATGTTGTGTTTCTCAATTTTGATTATCTCATCTAATATTCTTATTAATACAGTTTCTTAAACTAAAATTGT